CGCCTGCAGTGTGAACGTAGCCTTAGAGGCCAGACGGGCAAGCTTTCACCAATCAGGCCACATCTACAAGCCACGATACTGATGCTTGAGTTTGACTTTGTGACGCTCGGATTGGATGTAAAACGGATTTCAGTCCTTAACATTTCAATTTCATGTACTGCAAAAACAATAACGCAGTAGATGAAATTAAAAATCAGCAAATTTAAACGCACTTTGAGCACCTGCACCTAAAAACACTGTCATAGTATAAAGTCAGTTTGGCTTCAATAAACATACCAAAGATTTTCTCTCCATCGGGGAGTCACCACATCAGATCATCCACCACAACCTGACCCCCAGACCTTCAACCGATTCCACATGTTGGAATTTCCCCTTTTATTCATACAGCAAACACACACACACACATATATACATGTGATATATGTATTTTGACCGTCTGCGGCTGCACAGACAAAGTGCTCATTAATGAAACTGACACTGTCTGCTGTCATGATCAATAACTCAATCCTGAATGAGGCTCTCTGTTTTGAAGTGCATGTGTCTGCCAGTCAGCGATGACAGTGCACAAAAGTGGAGCTCTCTGAGGTTTCGCTGGGTTAGTGTGACGTAATCGTACAGAAAACATGTTAATAGGCGTCATTGTGCCGTTTCTGCTTGTGCAGGGGGCCCTGACCACAAGTCACCATTCAGGAAAACCACACAAAGAGCCGACTGTGAGCAGACGAGCTCACGGTCTACAAATTCCTCGTAACAAGGGAACTGCTGGGCCAACTGATCTTGTTGCTGAAGTTACTGTTTACCAAAATAAAAACATATTTTAGATCATTCTGACGTAATTCTCGACACTTTTTAGGTTCGCCAGCAACAAACAAAGTCGGCGTCACTCCTTCAATCGCAGACTCTAATCTTGTTGCTTTTTCTTCGTTTGTGCCAACAACAAGAATCGTCTGTCTTTCCTCATGTGTTACCAAGTTTCACCCTGATCTCCCTCAGAAGCCACAGCACC